CCCCGGCCCCGTCCTGCCTTTGTTGCGGGCCTCCCGTGCACCGGGCACGCGCCCTTCCCTTCCCTCGCGTCCGTTGTGCTCCATCCCACCCTCTCCCCGCCTTTCCCCGACTTCGGCGCCTCTTCGCGGTCCCGCTGCCTTCCCCCCGCTCTCTGAGCCCCAGTCTCTCCGAAGGTCGCCCCCCGGCCGACGTGCCCCGCCTCCCCCGGAGCGCCTGGATGCCCCCTGCTTCTCACCCCTCTTCTTACCCCCTGCAGGCGGGGCCCCTTCTGCTTCAGTCGCCGCAGCCATGGCACACGTTTCACGCTGGGCCCTGGCTGTCGTCCTCGGCCTCCAGCAAGGAGCTCCTCATGAAGCTGCGGCGGAAAACTGGCTACTCCTTTGTAAACTGCAAGAAAGCTCTGGAGACTTGTGGCGGGGATCTCAAGCAGGTGTGGGGAAGGAAGGGCAGGGGAGCGGGGCGGGGTCCTAGGGCCCGACGACCTGTCTCTGCGGGAGGTCGCTCTGGGGCGCATAGAAGTCAGACCTGCTGACCAGGGACCCATAACGACAGAATCCTATTCTGACTTCAGTGACAGTCTCATCCTTTGACTCTGACCTATTTGGAAGTAATTGACTGAGGATCCCAGGGTTAACTAACTATTCCACGCAGGACTACTGTGCTGTTTCCTGCTGCTTGGAGCTGGAAGGGCTTGTGGGAGCTTTGGAGTCAGACCCACCAAGACTCAGATCGTGGTGCCCTCAGAGGGATCCTGTGACCTTGGACACCTTTATCTTTCAGAGCTGCATTGTTCTTTTTTGTATCTGCTATCTGCCCCAGAGGGTGGTTGTGAAGATTAAACATATCCAAAGCACCAGGCACGATGTCTTGTATTTGGCGTTTAGTAGTAGGCCAGCCAATAAATTATAGATTACTTTAGTTTCTGTTGTAGGGTTGAGGAGAAGGAGAAAGAATTGGGGAACCTGCGCATATTTTAGAGCCCTGTTTAGTTCTAAATTCTGTGCCTTTGTTGTCTGCCTTTTTTCTTTTTAATTTATAGGCCGAGAGCTGGCTCCACAAGCAGGCCCAGAAGGAGGGCTGGAGTAAAGCTGCCAAGCTCCATGGGAGGAAGACTAAAGAAGGACTGATTGGGTTGCTGCAGGAAGGAAACACGAGTGTGTTAGTAGAGGTGGGTTGTCAGAATTGCAGATACCAGGAATAGCTGTCCCTGGGGTGGAAGGCTTTGTGGTAGGTGCTTTGCAAAGAAGAGTGTTTGAGGACCATAAAAGGAAGTTAGAATTAAACCTGTGAGACCCCGAGTATTAGCTATGGATTCATTTAAGTGTGGAAACGCACAGGCTGTTGATGAGAAAAGGCCTGGTAGCCTAGAACATTACTGCTAAATGTGAGTCCGGTGTGGCCTTATACTTTGTCACTGATTCTTTCCTGAAACAGTTAGATTTTAAAGCTAGGAATTACACTAATAGTTGATGGACAGCGAGTAGCTGTTTTAGAGGAGGTTTAGGGGCCCCTGTTGATGAAGAATCAGATGTGGATTAGTTGAGGGCGAGAGAAGAGATAAACAAGCTGGTAACAAAACCAGCATTGGAGGAGCCTGGAGAATGAGGTGGCTATGGCATGCGGCCACAGGCAAGTGGCGAACTTGTAGCCATCCTTTGGGGACATCAGTGAACCATCCTCTGAACGTGCAGGAAATTGTTAACTCATTTGCACAGAAGGAATCACTTCATTCAGTTTCTGGCCTCAAGCTAGTAGAGGAACTGTAGCTTTAAAATCCTAGAGGCACTTATTTCTGGTTTGTTAAGTCTCCTTCTTCTGTCAATACCTTAGTTTAAGGCACTTTTGGAACTGTCAGTGAACAGCTTATACAGCAACATCAACTTGTTCCCACAGGTAAACTGTGAGACAGATTTTGTTTCAAGAAATTTAAAATTTCAACAGTTGGTCCAGCAAGTAGCGCTGGGGACCCTTTTGCATTGTCAGAGCCTAAAGGATCAACTCTCCACGTACAGTAAAGTGAGTTTTGGGGTTATCTCCAACATGCTGGGTTTGTTCTGCCCCTTCAGAGTCCTTGCTGTTCCTTTTTTTTCAGACATTCTCATATCTCACTTCCTTACTTCATGTCTCTGCTTAAGTGTTATCTCTCTGGAGAGGGGTACCTTTCCTCCTGTTGCTCTATCCTCTTATTTTACTTCATTTAAAAATTTTGTTACAGTATTTATAGATTATATTCTTATTTTATTTATGTCTTGTCTGCCTTCCCCAGTAGACTGTAAGCTTCGTGATGCAGGAAATTTGTCTTTTCACTAGTGTGTCTCTGGTGAAAGAGGAGTGCATCCAGCACTTGGTTGGGTCTCATTAAATCTGTGTTGCACGAATGAATGAATGCCAGTGGGACAGAGTCCATCAAATCAGGTGAAGCCTTGTATTCAGAAATCTGGACTGGCCTGAGGAAAAGATTTCTTTTTTTTTAAATTTTTTAAAATTTTTAATTTTTTTTAACTTTTTTTTTATTGAGTTATAATCGTTTTACAATGTTGTGTCAAATTCCAGTGTAGAGCACAATTTTTCAGTTACAGATGAACATACATATATTTATTGTCACTTTTTTTTTTTTTTTTTTTTTTTTTGCTGTGGGAAAAGATTTCTAAATACAGATACTAGTGAAGGCACAGTTTAGGAGAGTAAGCATATTCTTGTCCATAGAGGGATCAAGGAAGGAATTATATCGGTATGTCTTTGATTCATCCTTATTGTCAAGGCAGAATGAATCAACTACTTACAACAGTTTTTTTCTGTGTTTAGTACTTGTAATCCTGAGCTATTCACTTACTTTACTGTACCTCTGTTTCATTATCTGTAACAAGGGACTTCGGCCCCTTTTAGCTTTACTAATTTTTTTCCCTTTTGATCTTTATTTTTTTTAACTTTTATTTTGAAAAAAAATTCAAATTTGCAGAAAAGTTGCCAGTATTTTATAATACACCACAGTGTACTTTTATCTAGATTCACCATTTGTTAACATTTTGCTTTATTGACTTTATCACTTTTTATATACATATTATTGTTACCACTTTTTAAAAATTCTTTTGTGAATATGTCACAGACATTAGGACCCTTTATCCCTTCAGCATGTCTCTCCTAAAAACAAGGACATTTTCCTGTGTAGCCACAGTACAGTGATCACATTTTTACCTTGATATATTTTTATTTATATAGTATATAATATAGATATTTTGCCAACTAGCAATTTTTCTTCTGATCCAGGATCTAGTCCAGTATCATGTGATACAGTGAGTTGTCATGTCTGTTTAGTCTCCTTTCTTTGCTCCTGAGCCTTTGTTATTACATTGACATTTTTGAAGAGTACAGGACAGTTTTGTAGAATTTCCTTCACTCTGAGTTTGATGTTTCTTCATATTTAGATTCAGAATGTGGACTTTCGTAGGAATATTAAATAAATTATCCTGTATTTTTCTCAGAACATCCCATCAGGAGGCAGAGGAGGATGGGACTGTTGGTACTGTTATTGATAGTGTTAATTTTGATCTCTCGGTTTAGGTAGTATCTGCCAGGTTTCTCCACTGTAAACTTGCTATATTCCTTTTTGTAATTAATAAGTTATCTGTATAGGAGATTTTTTTGAGACCATGTAGACATCCAGTTCCCCAAGAAACTTTTCCCATAAGGTGTTAGTGTCCTTTGATGCTTCTTGTCCGATAGGTTCTTACTATGATGCTGCGTGATGGTTGTTTTTCTAGCCCTTACAGTTTCTTTCACATGCGTTCTGTTAGTTGGCATTCTGTTGTAAGAAGGACACTTCTCTTCTTCTCTCCCTTTATTTAGGGATTTACTTACTAGCAGCATTGACTCATAGATTCTTATTTTATACAATAGGTTATAAATCATTATGTAATCCATTAGTCATTGTAATGCTTAAATTATCCCTGGATTTGGCCAATACAAGCCAAGCCTATGCAAGCTGGCTCCATTATCCTTTTGATATAGTCTCATTATTTTTTGAGTATTTCCTTACTTTTTGGCATAACAAGATATTCTGGGCTTATGTCGTACTTTCCTTGCCCCAATCATGGAATTTGTCATTTCTCCAAGGAGTCCTGATTGTTTTCAGTGAGGGAATGGTTTTTAGAAACCAAGATCTGGACATTAGGTGTGCTTGATTCTATTGTGATATCACTGGGGCCCTGCTCTTTCAGCAGAGCTGGGAAATTGTGTGTGTGTGTGTGTGTGTGTATGTGTGTTTCAGTTCTAATCCTCTACCACTGGCTTCTTCCTTTCCTTCCCCCATCCTGTATTTGTATCTTCCTTCTTTCCTCTTCTCACAGTGAATACACTGGCTCCTAGCAATTTCAGTATGTTTACTTACTTACTTGCTGTATAGTACGCACTTTGTTTCAGAGTTGCTGTCCCTGACCGCTGCAAACAACAAACCTGCTAAGGAGTTCAAGATTTCCTTGATGTCCTTTTTGTCTGTATGTAGAAGCTATGTGGTCAAAGGACAGTATCAAAAGTAACTTGGATTAGTTTTTCCTCCCTTCTCAGGTTATATTATTTCTTTGAAATACAATTAGAATCTTTGTTTCTGTTTCGTCAGTGTTCATTTTCACCCCAAATCCTTGTTAATTTTATTTTTGAATATGTAAAACATCACAAGGTTCTGAAAGTTAAAGCTAATACACACACACAGAAGTCTCACTTCCTCTTCTCTCCCTTCTGCCCCATTCCTAGTCACTCCTGTAGGTAACCAGCTTTATTGGTTTCTGGTTATCCTTTTTGCAGAAATGTGTGTGTGTGTGTGTGTGTGTGTGTGTACACATACACAAATACTTCTTTATTACCCAAATGGTGGTAAAAAAAATAAGTATGTATCTCATTTTTTTTCTTTGATTGTTTTTGTTTGGGGAGGGGTTGGTAATTTGATTGATTTATTTATGTTTAGAGGAGGTACTGGGAATTGAACCCAGGACCTTGCACATGCTAAGTGTGTGCTCTACCACTGAGCTATACCCACCTCCCTGTATGTATCCTTTTAATTTGCTTTTTTCACTTAATGTGTCTTGGAAATACCCCATAGCAGCTCATGGAGCTCATCTTTTTCTTTCTTTCCAGCTGCATGGTATTCCATTGTGTTTCTGTACCATAGTTTCTTCAACCGGTCTGCCTATGTTTGGGCATTTAGACTTTCTAATACTTTATGATTAGAAATAATTGCCCAAGGAATAATTTTGTGCATGTGTACTTTTATATTGTTGGAAGTGTACTGAGGTTAGTTCCTAGACATAGAATTGCAGGGTCAAAAGATAAAAGTGTGTGCAGTTTTGTTAGCTGTTGTCCAATTCCCTGACATTGGATCTGCACCATTGTTTATGCTACCAACAATCTACAGACCTTTTGCTTTAATATTTTATGATTGTGTGAAAATATTGTTCCTGATTTCTAGGAAAGTGCATTCTAAGAAGTGAGGCTGGAGGCTGGGGTTGGGATGGAATTGGGGGTGGTGTGGTAATGGAATAAAATATTTATAAAAATGGAACTGTTAATCAATTTTTAATGTTCTTGGCTTAATGACAACATTATCTATTTATACTTAGTTGTCTTAAATCATTTTCTGAGAAATAGGCTATATTTTTGCTTAGTCTCAATAATTTGAGTTATACAGAACTGACTTATGTTCATTTTCTTTGTGCACTTAGGGCTTCTTGAGTTCCTCTGAGCTCTCTGAGCTTCCAGCTGGGCCTGAGAGAGAAGGTGCTCTTAAGGATCAGCTGGCCTTAGCAATTGGTGAGTATTTGTAAGGATCTGGAAACTGGAAATTAAGAACTGGATCTCCTGGTATCTTTGGTGTTCCTCCAAACTAGATCAAGAATTGCAAGTTCATGTTCCTTTAAGGGTCAGATAATATGAATGTGAGAAGTGGGTAGTATGTCAGATATCAGTGAGTTATGGGCACCCTGGAAAGCTCACACTCTGCTGAAGGAAACTGTTAACCAAGCTACTTGTTACCTTGGCGGAAAACCCCAGGCTCATCAGAATTTTAAAATTCCTTTAAAATAATTTAGCTTTGTATGAAAGATCTTAGTTTTTAGCCGTTTTCAACTAACTCAAATTAGCAGGCATCACTGTGCTGACCAAAAAAAAGCATGTCTTTAGGCAGCGTTGGCCTTTTGACTTCTGGTTGACCACTGCTGTATATGCTATGGAGGAAATAGTCCATTTCAAGTCATTTCACCTTCTTTATGAAGGAATCCAGGAATATTTTGGGGCATCATGTTTAGGACTTTGACCTCATAAAAAAATCTGATCCTAAATGTGTGAAAGTCCATTTCAGAACCTGCTGGCTACAGAAACTGTATCTGGATCATGGTGGTGGGAGTAGCGGGGATTTTGCCTTCTTTGTATATGTCCCTGACGGAAGGAGCGGAGCAGGGCTGGGCTGGGGGCTTGCTGGGAACTTACTGCTCATCTGGCACTTCCAGTCACCGCATCAGTCCTGTGTTTATCAGGTCATCTAAAGTATGCATGATGTTTCAGTGAGTCATTGTTGAGAAACCAGGCAGACAGCTGTGTATGGGACTTATTAAGAAATTCTGGAAGAACTGGGTGTTTCAAACTTGTCAATTTCTGGGAATTAACTACTGCGTAGATGCTTTGAGCTGTTTTAAGATTTCTTGATACTCCCCTTTTATGACTGTTAGAGCTAACTGTGGCTAATGCTGGGATCTACACCCAGACCCTTTGATTCTTCTCCTACCCCTCCCTACGTTTTGGCTTATTTGGACTTCTGTAGAGGGGATAGCATCCTGAGAGAAAGCGGGAAGCTGGAAGCCACTTTTGGTTAAATGTTATCTTTATTTTTAATGAGGGGAAGTTGAAGCCATCAGATGACGTAGGGTTTTGGATTTTCTGGGGCTTTTAGTGGTAAACTTTTTCCTGATACAGTGGATGATAAGGAGTTGCCTGTGTCAGTGATGGTGGTATTTTGGGAGGGATGGTAATTTGGTGGGAAAAGACAATTGGTTTGGAGTCAGATCTGAGTTTTAATTCCAGCTCTGCCATATATTAGCTCTGTAGCCTTGGGCGGGTTACTTAAGCTCTCTAAGCCTGAGTTTAATGTAGTAATGATAGCCAGATGGCAGTGCTCCCCATGTGCCAGATATTGTAGTAAGTGCTTTTATATATCTTACCTTATTTATTTCTCTCAATAATCCTGCTTTCAGGTTGTTTTAAGTGTATCATCTCCATTTTACGGATGAGGAAATGAGGGCTTAATAAATTAGTAAATGGGGTTATGTGCTTAAGTTCCTTGCGTGAGGTCATATGGCTGGTGAGACTGCAGTCCAGGGTCCGTGTGAGCCTGGAGCCTGTGTTTTTAAGTACCAGCGTGGCACGTAGTTGGTGCTCTATAAAGCACTTGCCATTTCCCCCAAACCCCTTTTCCTCTTTAAACTGAAAATGGTCTCTCTCCATCTTATAGCATATCCACAGTGTCAGTGCGGAGGACTGTGTCCCAAACTTGGCCGTCTCTGTGCATATTTTGGTACTACTGCCGGCATCATATTCTAGAAGCATGTTTTTTGTTTTTGCTCTTTTATAGGGAAACTGGGAGAAAACATGACTCTTAAACGAGCTGCATGGGTGAAGGTGCCAGCTGGGTTCTATGTTGGCTCTTATGTCCACGGGGCAATGCACAGCCCCTCGCTCCACAACCTGGTGCTGGGGAAGTACGGGGCCCTGGTCGTCTGCGAGACGTCCGAGCGGAAAGCAAACCTTGAAGACCTTGGCCGCCGCCTTGGGCAGCACGTGGTGGGCATGGCCCCTCTCTCTGTGGGCTCCCTGGATGATGAACCTGGGGGAGAGGCAGAAACCAAGATGCTGTCCCAGCCGTACTTGCTGGACCCCTCCATCACACTGGGTCAGTATGTGCAGCCCCAGGGAGTGTCTGTAGTAGACTTTGTGCGGTTTGAATGTGGAGAAGGTGACGAGGCAGCGGAGGCCGAGTAGGTTCCAGAGATATTAGGCCCAGGAGGAAATGTTTATTCTTAACTCCGGACATCATTATAAGCAGAAGTTATTTCCTAAGCCTCTTCACACCCAGAATTTGTTTTTCATTTGAGTTCGTAATGAAATTATATACTTCGTGGGTAAAGTCATTAAATAGAATTGTTATACAATAAAGAAAGTAGCATGTTTTCCTCGTTTGCATAATGCTGGTCCAGCTCTTTTGTGCTAGACTTGTGAGGGTTTTAGAAAACAACAGGTGGGCCTTCTTGAAGTGACTGAGCGTCTGGAAGAACAGGCATTACCAGCTGCCTGCTGCTGCTTCAACACAGATTTATGACGGTGCCCCTAACACATCTAGCCCCTTCTAGCCTGCTCCTCCTGTGACATAGAACTCTCTTCTTCGGCTTTGCTTTGTGATGCTTTCGGCTGTGCTTCCATCCTGGAGCTTCCCTGGTTACATTACTTGTGCCACATGGATTCCTTTGGAATTGTTGACTTAAACTTGGAGTTGCCTGGAAAATGTGGTTCATGTGTTGATGTCTGTAGCGTGCTTTGAAGGCTCTCTGTAGTGGTACACACACTGGTTCTGGCCTCATTACTGAAATTAATAACACATAGCCCTGTTTCTCTTCTGGATAGTGGGGTGTGGATGGGTGGGTTCTGAGGTTTCCTGGACAGCTGTAAGGCAGATTTCAGCATTCTTGTGCCAGAAACAGGAATTCCAGTTATCCAGAGAGCTCATTCAGCAGTGCCTCTTTGCTTCCCTGTTTGAGACATTTCTCCCAACATAACAAAATAGTTACCATAACAGGCAGACCCAGAATACTGAAAGGACTTCCATTTGCTAATACAGGCATTTTTATTTGAAAATTTAAAAATCTCTCGCACATTTAGATCTGAGCATTTAGATTTTGACTTTGGGTATATGTGTGAATAACTTCAGTGATTTGTGGGTTAAATAGGCAATATATCGATCTTAAAAGTTAAAGCAAACTTAGGTTCTTGCCCCAATATTAAACACTTAAAACTTAGTTTTTTTGTTCTCTTACTTTTGACTTCTCCAGATTCATGCAGTTTTAGTGCTTTCTGCTGAGGCTTGAGCCAGAAGGCCACAAAAACCACAAAGTCAGTGTTAACATTCTAGGCATATAACAACTAAGGATTGCAGGAATGAGAGAAATGGAGACCATGCTGTGATTTGCAGACCCTACTACATCTACATTAAGCAGCTGGATGTTAGGGAAAAATTAGTAGATAAATTCTTTCCTGATACTGGCACTATCTGCTGTCTTCTGTGATCTTGTAATAGGCAGATGCCTTCTTGCCTCAGAAAAGCCCCTTTTCTTTCTTCATCTGGAGCTGCTTCCAGCCAGGCAGAGCAGCAAATTGCCCTCTTGTGATGCCAAACACAGAAACAAAGTCCTGTTCAGAGAGGTAATTCTAAGAGCGAAAACAGAGTTTCTAGTTAGAAGGGAGACATGGCACCTGTCAATGCTAAAGGAGTGGGGAGAGTGGGGCTGAGAGAGTCCCAGGGAGTTTCTTGAGGTGAAGTAGAATGAATTTTCCAGAAAGTCTGTAATAGACTTAAATTATTCATTGGAGGATTACTTAGCCTGTGGACTCCCACCTTGGCCTGTGGAAGCGCTGACTGGATTCTCTGTTCTCACAGTCCCACCTGGTGCCCATTTCTTGCCAGAAGGACAAGGAATGGGTTATACATTATGTATGAATTCTAAACGTTAGACTTTGGCTGAATGAAGAACTAAATTGAGTGATGGTTTTCCTTGCTTATCAGCCACTCTTATCCAGACATTTTCAAATGCAAGATCAGGTAGATCTTGTTGAGAGCATAAACTTCTAACGTTTATTTATTGATTAGTGAGTATTTTCTGTCCAAGTAAAATCATTAAGATATGGCCTCTGTTTTCAGGAAAGCTGTAGTCCAGATACTTAAGACTTGGTTAGATAAGACATTGTGGAAAATCCAGAGACCCTTCCCCTTCCAGGTGGAAAAAAGTCAGTCAACATGAATATATTAATTCAATCAACCAAAACTTAATGAGTGCCTGTGATCTACCAGGCACCATTTTTGGTGCTGAAAAGCTGAGACTGTGATGGTGAACAAATGGGAGAAAAATGTTTTTTTCAGGCAGAAGCAATAGGAAGTGTAAAGGCTCAAAGGCTGAAACAGACATGGTCAAGGAACAGAAAGGCAGCCTCTGGCTGGCAGATGGTAAGTGAAGAGGGTAGTGGTCTGTGAGGTGCAATCAGAGGTGGGCAGGGCCAGACTGTACAGGGCTTTGACGGCCACCAAAAAGCCTTTGGATTCTTTTCTAAGTACAGTGGGAAGCCATTTGAGCAGTTTTAAATAGAGAAATGTCTTCTGTTTTAGAAGCCCACTGGTTGTTATATGGGGAACAGACTGTAGGGACTGGGGTGGAAACCAGCTGGGAGACTGTTGAAGTGGTCCATGACAGCTGGACCACACTGGCAGCAGAAAGATGGAGAGCAGTGGATGGAGGCTGGCTGATGGGCTGATGCCAGAGGAGAGGAAAAAGGATCAAGAAGGAGCTCTGGGTTTGGGGCTTGAGCTCCTGGGTAGTTCAGATATCTCCTGAGTGCTTACTGTGTTCCAGATCTGTCCTGGCCATTTACAGGGACGGTGTTTTGCTCATGGAGAGCTCCACTTACATCAGACAGTTCCCTCAGTCACTCACCTCCTTTTGGGCAGGGTTCACATCCTCAGGCAGCTCCTGATTCTGATTTTTCAGCAGAACTTCTATGGGGTAATATTTTGGCTCAGAATTCAGGGAGAGGGTTGTGTCCTTCATGCCCTAGGGAAGATAAGAGCATAAACACAGGAAAAAAGACTGTTTAAGTGTGTGCAGTTGAAGTTCTGTGTGTATAATATTTAACATTATGGTTTTTACCACTTCACACTTTATAATCATCTTTTAGAACAAGAGTCCCCAAAACTGGCTGCATGTCAGAATCATCTGGGAATCTAGATGATTCAGATATGGGGGTCTTTCTTGGGAAGCTGATTCAGCAAGTCTAAGGTAAATCCTGTATAGCCAGTTTGGCATAAATGCTGTGCTTAAACCTCATTTAAATACTGTGATCACATCCTTTCTCTTGGTACTTAGGCTCTACATTTCCAGCCTTCAAATGACTTCAAATTGAAGTCATACTTCTCTTGAGTGCATTTTAAAGATGCTACATTGCCATTAGCTTCGGAATCTTGAGTTTGTAGAACAGAAAGGACAAAACTGCCTGATGGTTTGGACAGTGGTACCAGGCACTTGTCCTGATGTTAAAGGTTCCTGGCCAGACGCTCCAGTTCTTTTAGGCATTAAAATAGGGGTTACGGCCTGAGTTTCTGGGGATGCCACTGTCAGAAACTGATAAATTTATTATTTGGGTTAGAAGCTTATTTCTGAAAAATACTGCCAGTAAATTTAATCTGCTCTGAATGACAGAGTTGAATAATAAAATTTGTTTTTGTTTCTGCTGTTTTTTTTTTTTTTAAACAGCAAGTCTGTTCTAAATTCTGGAAGGCAGTAAAATAAGGAACTTGGCTCTGAGACCTGCTTTTCTACTGATTAAAACAATCTTCATATCAAATTAGACAACCAGGGTGATACTGAGAAGGACATGAGAGGGCTTCGCCCATGTGGCATTGGTAGCATTTGCGGTTCCTTTCTGGCTCTGGTTGTCTGAGTGACTTGCTCCTCCAAGAAACTCACAGCAGTGATTCTTATGATAGCAGCAGTGTCTCCCAGCTCTTCTTTTAACTGTTCGTATGATTTCCCTGCCTGAGAAGAAGAGATAGAAGACACAGGATGAGATGGTGCTTATAGAGAAGGGACATCTCCGGCCTAGTCTCGAGAGAAGCAAAAGAGCCAGGGAATCAGAAGACATTTCAGGGATAAGCAGAAATGAAAATCAGGGGGAAGGTATATAGCTCAGTGGTACAGTGCATGCCTAGCATGCATGAGGTCCTGGGTTCAATCCCCACCACCTCCATCAAAAAAATAAATAAGCAAACCTAGCTACCTCCCCCACAATAAACAAGCAAACAAACAAGAAAACCCCCTTCTGGGTCTGTGCAGGGTTGGAAGGTGCTTAAACACGATCTGCATTCCTTGCTAGTGGCCCCTCAGTCCTGCACACTGAAGGCACAGCAGTTGACCAGGGATCAGAAAAACCGTCTTCTTCCTACTGGGCTAATTGTGACTTTAGACAAAGAACTTCTCTAAGCTTCCTCATCTGTGACCTAGGAAACAACGTTTGCAGTAGTTATCAGGATGTAAAGTTCAAAATAATGTGTGTGGATGTACTTCATGAACTTTGTTACTTTACCCACTGCTTGCTCCTGAGACAAGCTGGGAATTCTCTAACTGGACTTAGTGGTGTAGTGGGCGGGAAAGAGAAGGAAAGTAAAAAGTAGGGAGGGGAGACGGAACAGGGCAATGTGGTCCTGGGTTGACCCAGCCCCAGAGTACCCTGCCTTCCCACGGAGCGCTTTGTGCTGAGTGCACTGGCAGTAAGAACGCCCCCCACCCCGTTCTCGGTTCTTACGCTCCAAATGTGAGAGTCCCAGGCCAAGAACCAGCCTGTGAAGGTGGGAGGCTCGAAGCCCTGTTTAACGATGAGGATTGGCGTGCCAGCATCTCGGCCGCCGGGGTGAGTGAGCAGGTACTCCTGGGCTGTAGCAAGCGCTCGCTCCTTCTCTGTGGCGTTGGCCTCAGCCCCAATCCACAAGAACACCTGTTGTGGGAGAGGTTGAATGCTGTTAATGCGCTCAGGCCAAGGACCAAGTAGTAGATCATACGTACTGCCCTGTCTTCCCCCTCAGCAGTTCACAGCCTCAGCACAGAAAGGTTTTCTCAGAATCATCTTGATTTGTGATTTTAATTGCCACATGGATCTCCCAAATCTGCATCTCCAGTACTGATCTCTCTCTCTCTCTGAACTTCAGCCACCCGAATCCAACTTCTTGCAAAACACCTTCCCTTTGCTGCCTCAAAGCACCACAAATACAGCACCCCCAAAGTGTAGCTCTTCTTTTCTAAACTTGTGTCTGGGTCCCCATTCTTGGTGTCTATCTAATTACCTAAGGCAGTAATGTTGGAGTCATCCGACATGCCTTCCACACACCAACCTTGGCCAGTTTACCTCCTATGCTTTTATCAAATCTGCTGCCTTCCCTGCATCCTTGCTCCGCTGCCCCTCCCCTGTGTGGTCCTGCAGCTGCTCTTACTGGACTGTGACGATGGTCTGCCTACAGTCTTCTCTTTTTTCTCACCCCATCTCACTCTCCTACACTTGCTGGAGTCATCTATCTAAAGCACAGTCTGACCATGTCACTCACCTGCTCAAATTTCAGCAGCTTCCCAGGATAAATTTCAAACTTCCTGACGTGGCAGGTAAGGCCCACACACACTTCTGTAGCTTCACCTCTAGGGTGCTCTTTAACTCTGTCTTATGCTCTGAAAATATTATTTGTAGTCCCTGTGTACTAGACTATTTCCGGCCTTGCTTTTCCTTTGCACAGAATGCCCGCTTTACCTGATTAATGCCTGCTTATCCTCTGAGATTCAGCCTGGGAGCCGTCTCCTCCAGAAAGTCTTCTCTGAGCTCCTAACCTGTGTTGAGTGCCCCTAATTTGTGCTTGCATGGCACCTTGTATGTACCTCCATCATAGAAAAAATGATGTATCTGCGTCTGCCCCCCACCCCCAACTCTGAGATAGGACGAGGCCCTCTCCCTTGGTGACACCACGCCCAGCACAGTGATTAGAACAGGGGAGGTGCTGAGTATGTTTGCTGAGCCAAATTGAAGAAAATGGGACACGGCAGAGGGGTTGCCTTGAAGACGTCTCTTTCACATCCTTTTGTTCCCTAAAAGGCCCATATCTCTGGGTGTGGAGCCTGCTGCAATTGGTCCTGGGAGAATGGAGTGCATGCAGACAGGATGCTCTGATTTTCCCAGAGCACAGTGGGAAAATTCCCAGGGTGGTGAGTTTTAAAACCATTGTATTCCCTCCAACCCTGGCAAAACGCAGACCCTTCCTTTAGTCACCGCTGACAAGCGTTTGGTTGGCTTGGGGGTGGTCTGGGGTACCCTGGGTTTATCCGGGATGTGTGGGGGATACTACACGAAAAATAGACTAAACTTAGAGGGTCTTTGTCATTTGTTCCAAGCTTCTGGCTGTGTCTTACCTGGTCCCACGTATCCAGGAGCATTACATCACCTGGGTTAAGGTCGTCCTGGGTGAAGTCTGTGATCTCAGTGACAATGAACCGGCCAGTCTTATTGGAACATTCAAAGAGACGGGGCTGGACATCTAGGATTTCCTGCTGCAGTCTGCAGTACAGTCCATTTAGAGGAAGCAAGCTGTTTAGAAATCGTGTGCAGTTCACAAGTCTGGAAGGCAGGGGGAGCCACGAGGGATGCTGTGGTCCTGTACCTTTTGTCATTGGCGTAGGGAGTTTTCCCTCCCAGCAGGTCCCAGAACTCAGCCGGCTCCTGGCCCTCAGCCACCGTGCTCTCGGTGCCATCACAGAGAAACCCGGCCAGCGCCTTAGCCGCTGCCCGCTCATCCCCGCCAGACCCCTGCACGTGGGGCGGGGAGAACACAGATGTTACTCACACACGGGCATGATGATGTGGGGGAGAAGCTTCTGGGATCAATAGCTCAGTGTCGCCAGGCTCAGTTACCAAGCCACGGTACCTCAGGACCGGAGACAGATAGGTTTCTTTTAGTGCTGGGCGGGCTGGGCGGAGGGAGAGGCGGGGGAGAACACAGCGTGGTGGCGAAGGACAGGACTAGACTCTGAAACTCACAGTGGATGTTGTTCTGCCTTCAGTTGGAATTTTAACACCTACTTTTGATTATTATTTTTAGAGAAAAAAATTTAAATTTATTTTGTAAATTATATACAGGAAAAGTCACTCTTTTTGCCATATAAGTTCTATGACTCTTGACAAAAGCACAGAATCATGCTACCACCAACCACAACAAAAATACGGAACAGTTGCCTCACCCCTGGAAAGAGTTCCCTCAGGCTGCCTCTTTGTAGTCAGACCCTCCTCGAATCCTTAACATCTGGCGACCACTGATCTGCTCTCCATCAGGATAGCTTTGCCTTTTCCAGAATGTCATTAGTGGAGTCATACGCTATGTGGCCTTTGAGTCTGGCTTCTTTCCCTGAACATAATGCATCTGAGATTCACCCTTGCAGTCGCGGGCATCCCCAGCTTGTTCCTCTGTGAGGCTGGGTCGTATCCCACTGCCTGGGTATGCCACTGTCTGATTTCCCATTCTCCCAGTGAGCTGCTTCCGGTTTTTCGTGATTACAAATAAAGGTGGTATGAACATTCATGTACAGAGTTTTGTGTGAAGATAGTTTTTGATTTCACATGGGTAAATAGCCAGGAGTGGGGTTGCTGGGTCATGCGGCAAGTGTATGTCACGTAAGAAACTGTCAAATCGTTTCCCAAAGGCCACACTTGCTTTCCCACCAGCAGTGTGAGAATTCCCGTTGTTCCTCCTGTCGCCCTCACTTGACATGATCAGTTTTCGTTTAGTCATTCTAATAGGTGTGTAGTGGTATCTCATTGTGGTTTTCATTTGCATTTCCCTAATGACTAATGATGTTGAGTATCTTTTCCTGTTCAAACCTCTTTTGTAAAAACAATTTTAGTGCTTTTTAATGCAGATGCACTTTGAATTGGCAAAAATCACATTTGTAGTGTTTCTATTCACTGTTAATGCCTATCCTATTGCAATCCACCAAACTGGTGTGGAAAGATGGATTTGTCCAGCCTCCATCCATTTAGAAGTCTATGGAGTGTCTCCTGGGTGTGAGCAGTGCTGTTAGTGAGTTTCTAGGTGGAGGCCTGATCGTGGGGAGCGCTGTCGGTCCCTCTGAAGGCCCTTGGGGAACAGCTGCTCTTTTTGAGGACTGCTCCAGCTTCCTCCTTAGTTCCATTGCCTTTGCTGACAGGAGGGTGGGCTCAGGGCTGGGCTCTGAGGGGCTGGTGTGACCGCTGGGCCCCACTGTCCTACCTTGCCGTACCACAGGTAGTGCTCTGTCTGGGTCCGCAGCAGAAAGACATCGCTGGAGTTTAGGGAGGAGGTGAAGGCTGGAACCTCCACCGCTTTGGTGTTAGATTTGTCATATCCGTGAATCTGGAAGAGCCTCGCTGGAGGATCAGGCTCGGCACTTCCCTTCCTGGAAGTCCCGCCCTAGAGAGACGGAGAAAAGCAGAGTCTGGATCTAAGGTGCACCGTGTGGGCGGAGCACTGGGCTAGCCCTTGTGGGGAACAGGGATGTGCCTGACACCGTCTTTGCCCTGGAGGAGCTTCTGGGCTACTTGGGAGAGGCCGGGCTGAGCTGGAGTTCTGGTGCCAATATTAGCTTTCATTCTGAGACCTCGGTGCTGGCGCCTTACCTACATCATTCTATGGACCCTCACAATTATTCTGTGAAGTAGGTATTATTGTCCCACAGTATAGGTAGAGAAACTGAGGCTTAGAAAGCTGGCTGGTAAATGACAAGGCTAGAACTTGACCACAGACTTGTGTATATCAAACACGTTACATCATACATCCCTGGTAGTGCTTCGCCAGGGCTTCCTGGGAGAAGTGGGACTCGAATTTGGAGGGGCGCATTTGGTCGGGGCAGTGGACAGGGAACGAAATGGCAAATGTGAGGTCTGATGAGGAAACCCACCTGACTGCAGTGAGTGTAGGTTAGGGAACTGAGGGGAATGCCCCTGGACAGGTAATATGGATCAGATTATAAAAGACCTTGAACACGAATTAGGCAGTAGTTTGGACTTGAAGCCCTAGGCAGTTGGGATTCACTTCAGTGTCTTAGAGCGATTCCCCTTCTTATCTGCGTCTACCCCAGCCCCGCTTCCCACCCCTCCTCTCCTCTCCTGTAGCCCCCTACTGTAATTTTAGCTGAGGGCTCTCACCTCAAAGATAACCAGCTTTCCTTTGAAGATGGCCATGAAGTGACGTGGCTCCTTCCCCATGGTAACCCGAACCTGTACAGGCGCCCCGTCAAACTGCCGATCCACCTCCACCGCCTGGTATGCCGAGGCTGCCAGCTCGTCCTGTGAGGCGTGGCGGCCCTGCAGTGGTGAGAGGGGTGCCATGGGTCCCTGCTATCCCTGGCCCCAGCTCCGTGGCCAGAGGAAGCGCCAGGACCCAAAGCTGAGAGCCTGCCCCCAGGCCTACCTGCCAGATATACAAGATGTGATGTGGCTTCCCATTCATCTCGTACGTGTAGAGAACCAGATAGCAGTCTCCCCCATAAAAGAAGCCGTGCCACTTGCACTCCACGGGGACCAGCTCCAGGTTTTCAATCCTCCACACCTGAGCATAGAAGGAGACACAATTTCCAAGAGCTGAGAGAAGCACGTGAAGGGAACTGGGCCATGATTAGCAGAGAATCCAGGTGGGTGAGGTGCTAACATACACTCAGAGTACCCTCCCCTGCTCTGGTGCTGTTTTCCCAGTGGTGAGGGCTTATCACATTTGCGTGATTTGAATCCTGAGCACTGGATTGTCCCTGGTCAGGTGCATCCCCATCATGGCTCAGAGACTATTTGAATATATCTGCCAGGTGAGTCACTGATAGCACACTGGGTACCTACCTTTCACTTCCCTGAAGAATTGTGGGGAAACCCTGCAGACTCCTAGAGAATGAGGTGCCAGGGGTGAAAAGGAAGACAAAGCAGACACAGAATCACCTGCCGCCTCCTCTGTGGTGGAGCAGCCAGGAGGGCCAGTGCCCCCTGCCTGCCCTGAGACGTGAATCACTGGGCTTACCTCAACTTTTCCGTGGCCATCGTCGACCATTCTTTCCTGGGCTGCTACCTCTGGTTTGCTGTGCAGCAGGGTCACATCAAATTTATCCTGGAAAACCTTAGCTGCAGAGAAGGGGTTAGGAGAAGCCAAGTGAGTGAAAAGCATGTATGCCTGCCTTTCTGGAGAGTCCCAGCAGTGAGAAGGCGATCTAGGGGCAACTGTACCGATTTTACCGATGCTAAACGTTTTCCCCAGGCCCACGGTCTGGTCCTTCACCGACCACTTCTGGAACAGCTGCTTGAACATGGCTGACTCGGCACCGTCGTTGACGGTCTCCACGTTGGTGCTGCTAGGGTAGCCCTTCATCTTGATGAAGTTCTGTGGACCACCCCCCCCCCCCACCGCCGAGAGGCAGGTCAGTCAGGGAACGCACTGGGTTCTTTGCTTGGCTGCTGACTCACCCCTTTGAAGCCAGCTGGTAGGATTGCTCCCTTCTAGGAGTCAGAGCCAAATCCTGACTCACCTCTGTCCAGGTATCAAGTTACCTGCTCAAGGAAGGGACTGAGCAGAACATTTTGGCATCTCTTTGTTGTCCTGTCATGATTGTTACTGATTTTCTTTTTTTTTGCAAGATCCTCTATACTATGTTCCTTCATCAATCCTGTTCCCTATGGACTTTGTATCACCCTCATTTGCCTAATTTTTGCTTTGCACATGCATCCTGCTTGTTCATCTGCCTGGGTTTGCACAACAGCATAAGCTCCTTGAGGACAGGGCCAGTGACCTTGACGTGGGCTATTCCCTTCAATAGTAAAGCCACCTTTATCGAGCAGATGTGTGTGCCAGGCACTGTGCAGAGCACTTTGCAAGTGTTATTTGATCCTCACAAGAGCCCCAGGAGATGGCATCAAACCTGGACTTGAATCCCAGCTTGTCTGTCTGACTTCGAAGTCCACATATGTCACTGCGATGTTATACACACTAGTGCCTTGTGGCCCTCTGAGCACGTGTGAAGTGTTACTGACAATTTTGGGGACAATACTACACATCCGTAGCTCCTACCAGGGCTTTAGACATGGCTGTCTGTTTCTCAGCCTGCGAGGCTCCTCTTCCTTTCCACACATAGATCTTGGTTCCACTTTGGTCCAGGATGTAGCAGTCCTGACGCAGTCAGTCAGGGAGAGAAGTGGTTAGCTGTCCAAGACCATAAGGAAGGCCCTTCCCGAAGGCCCGCCTCTGGGGCGAGGTCCGGCTGCACCAAGCCCCGCCCACCCAAGCTCTACTTACGTCGTGGTTCAGTAAGTCCTGCACCAGAGGCCTCGCTGCTACCTCGGTGGCCGCCAGCTGCCCGGCTGAGTCCGAGACACTGGAGAGGGGAGAGGTTAGCCTGAGACGTGAATCACCGGGCTTACCTCAGCTCTTCTACAAAGCTGCTCATTGTCAGCTGCGTGTTTCCCTAGCTTTGTCTTTGTATGGCGTGCCAGGGTAGAGCTTGACCTCTTACGACGGGCATGGCTTGAATGCAGACAGAAATGTGATGGACTCCGTTCTCTGGAGGAGATTTTTGTGTCTCTCTCTCCCGAACATTATCCCATCCATATCCCTGGGCACGTAGAGACCCAAGTAAAGGAAGGTCCAGAGACCAGGAAGAGTTGCTAACAAGAATAGATGGTAGCTGCCTCCTTGAGTGGGGAACACTAAGCTCCTTGCAGAAGCTGCGTTTTAAAAAGACTGAAAGAAGCCAGGCACCTGCACCCCAAATGAGCCCAGTAGAAGTGCCTGGTTTCTGGGGGACCCCATCCCCCTACTCCAGCTTCTAGCCAGCAGCTAGAAGCTACTCACTGATACAATGTGATGTTTGATTTCTGCTGCTGATCGATGATCTCGTCGGGGACGGCAGGCTTGATAACGGAGCGTTGGCCAAGGGTATCCTGAAGGACCTTCATCAGCTCCGGGCTGGCTGCCTCCTTGTCTCCTTCGATCACTCCTATCTCAGCTCGGCCTCCTCGCTCCCTGTCCCGAATATCCTTTGCCAGAAGCATAGCCTGTAAAGAAGACCAAGGAAGCACTCAGCTTCTGGAGGAGCAGCCTGGATCCCAGACACAGGAGTTATCTGATCTGAGTCCCAGACTGGCGCACTTGGCTTGTCTCTGAAGCAGATGCTACTCAGAGGCAGGGGTCCCGGCTTGAAGGGCAGGGAAGAGCCAGCGAGGAAGGAAGAAGGAAAGGGCACCGAGGGAGAGAGGGGAGCCGGGAGGAGGAGTGAGCTGCACCTTCAGGCGCTCCCCACTGTTGCTCTCTGGGCCGTTCCACTGGATGATGACCTTCCCGAGGTCCAGCAAGAAGACGTCACCTCGGTTAAAACTGTCCCAGCTCATTTCCACCTGCAGAGGAGACGGAGACGTTACTAGGAGGAGTTCTGAGGTGCTAGGTGGAGAGGCCCTGGGCCCAGGACAGACAGGGTCAGGACTTACCTCGGTGGCCCTGATGTTTCTCTTCCCTTTCACGTGTAGCAGCCGCTTCATGTCGTAAGTGTTGGTCTCCACGTGCTTCATCCCAGAGGCCACACCCCCCTTCTTGTAGCTGAGGGAACACCATTCGGTTATTTACTGAGCACCTGCTATGTGCTGGGTACTGGGGAGACAGCTGTGAATTACACAGATGCAGCCTCTGCCCACGTGGGTGATGACAGTAAATGAGCAAAGTAGATATAGATGGTGGTCACCACTGCCACAGAAGCGGACTCAGCGATGGGCTTTCTGACAGAGTGGTCAGCGCAGGCTCCAAAGGGATGACATTTGAGCTAACGTATTAAGAGTAGGAACCAACCACCAGAGGACCAGTTCTCCAGACAGAGCCTGCGCCAGTGATAAAGTCTGCAGCACGGAAGGGCTTGTTTTGTTCTATAAATTGTCTGAACATTGCGGGTGACAGGGAGAGGGGCACAAGGCAGCAGAAGCATTAATGACACCATGGCCTTAAGACGAACTCCCTCCAGGAGTCAGCTCTCCTGCCCCTGGCACTCACCCAACCCTGCCTCCGTCCCAGGCATCCCGCGTGCCAGGCACGCAGACAGCCACTGGGAGCAGGGGGCCTTTGTCCCTGCATTTGCTGGAGACTCAGTGTGTACCCAGTAGGTCCACAGTCAGTGGGGACTGCTGACCTTCAAGAAGCTGGCTTTGGACCAGCCTCAGAACTCTCAAGCTCATCCGGAATTCCTCACATGCAAAGTTTTGAGGTGACCGAAGTCCTCAGTTCGTGGAACGTTTCCATCATTGGCCTCTATGAGACCCCTCTCCTGTTGTATTCATGTATTCCCTTTTATCTGCACACCCTGCCCCCCTTCCTCTCTCCAGAGGCGTCCATTCTAACAGTTTAGCACCTATCTTTTTATTTTCACTCTGTTCTATATTTCAAGTCTGTTCCTTCCTGTGTTCACTAAGCCCCATGTTTTTAAGATCCGCCCACATGTCTGGTGTGTATCTGATCCGATGCTTCCAGCTGTGGCACAGTGCTTCTTGGTGTCATGGAGTGTTTTTCCTGTCCAGTCTCCCTCCAGTGGGCACTGTGCGTTGCCTGCAGCTGCCCACCACCACTAACGGTACTGCTGTGCACATTCAGGTTCACATGCCCTTGTGGACCTGGGAACGGGAGAATTCCTTTGGGTTATAACCCAGAGGTGGGAGCTGCCTCAGCGGCAGCAGACTACTCCTCAGAATGCTGGCCATCCTCACTCCCACCAGCAGGGCACCAGGGCTCCTATTTTCCCACTGCCTGGCCAACACTTGGCACCACCCAGCTCTCTAATTTGTGCTGCTCTAATAGGTGGAAATGAGAGCTTTGCTTTGATGTGCATTTTCTGATGACTTTCTTCACATACTCACTGGCCCTTTGGGTTTCCTCTTCGGTAAACTGCGTTTACGTCCTTGCTGTGTGCATAGCTACTCACATGATGCCCTGCTTGAAGTAGCCACGGAAGGTGTCGGATTCATGGTACTGGACCTCCCGGTGCTGCACGGGGCTGCCCCCCAGGTAGTCATCCAGCTGCGTAGTGTAGATGGCTGCGCAGCTCTGCTCATCCTGGGAGGAGTCCTTTCCGATCCAGAAGTGGATGTCCTGGGAGAGGAGACTGCCCACTCTCCGGGTCTGGGATGTAGCCAGAGAGATCAGGTCAGGGGCCAGCTTGCCTCCCCTTCGCTGCCAGCCCCTGTGGTGTGGGAAGGATGCAGCCTACGGTGGCTCGTGTCCTGTCCTTGGCAGGCCTGGGCCCTCTCCCTCCCTGCAATGGCCCCTGTGCAGACCTGCTATGTCACTCAAGCCCTAGCAGCCCAAATCCCGCCCCCCACCCCATATTTGGGGAAAGTTGACAGCTTATTTTCTCAAAATAAATGGAGGCCAGTGGGGCTCTTTTCCAGGTTGGACCGCAGACTCAGCGCCTGCACTCACACAGCCGGCACAGGTCTGCTGTCCGTCCGCGGGGCTCCGTCAGCACTGTCCACGTGGGAGGGGGTTCCCTCCACGAGAACGGGCGCCCTGGGGCCGGAGACGGCCTTGGGTCTACCGGGCCTCTCCCCGCCGCGTTTTCGCCTGGGGGCTGGGCCCGAGGCGGGGAAGTGCCGCCGTGGGCCGCTTGCCGGGGTTCAGGCTGCAGGCCGCACCCCCACCCTCTGTGCAAAGTGTAAAACCCCCCCTAACAGTGGCCTCTGAGAGTCAACCTGGAGGCCGGTCGGGTGTAACACCGAGGAAGCTCAGGCTGTGTACGGGGCCTGGTGAACCTCATCCACAGACCTCACAGCGGAGCCCCAGGACCGGCCCTCAGGGAGGGGGCTCCGGAAGTGGAGGGTGGGCGCTCACCGACGAGGGATGACGTAACAGTCCCCCTCGTAGAAGCTGCGATAGAACTACTATAATTGGCAGCGATGGTATTCGTTTTTGTATTTTCAA